TGAGCTCAGGAGTTGGAGACCAGCTTGAGCAAGAGACCCCGTCTCTACTAAAAAAATAGAAAAAAAATTAGTTGGATTGGCCAACTAAAAATATATAGAAAAAAATTAGCTGGGCATGGTGGCTCAATCCTGTAGTAGTCCTAGCTACTCGGGAGGCTGAGGCAGAAGGATTACTTGAGCCCAGGAGTTTGAGGTTGCTGTGAGCTAGGCTGACGCCATGGCACTGCAGCCCAGGTAATAAAGTGAGACACTGTCTCAAAAAAAAAAAATAATTAGTTGGGCAACTAAAAATAGAAAAAATTAGCCAGGCATGGTGGTGTGCCCCTGAGTCCCAGTTACTTGGAAGGTTGAGGCAGGATTGCTTGAGTCCAGGAGTGTGAGGCTGTGAGCTAGGCTGAGACCATGGCACTTTAGCCTGGGCAACAGAGCGAGGCTCTGTCTCAAAAACCACCAACCAACCAACCTCATCTGTATTCAATTTCAATGCCATGTGACTAAAAACTTTGTTATTAAGATATTTTGAAGCTGCTTACTCTGTCTTTCCCTAAACTTGTAGGTTACATAATTGGGAAGTGTGGCTCATTACACAGTGCCTCCTAATATTTTACTTTTTATAACAGCGATCCTCAAGGGGATGGGGTCATTAGAAATCTTGGCACTAGTGGGAGGGAGAATATGAGATTTGAAAATACAGCAGTGTCTGATCTGTCGTTTTGTATAGTTATATAGGCATTTATGTGTGTTTATATATATATATATATATGTATGGACACACACACAAGCATTTAATTCAGATTCAAGGAGGGCATGAGAAGCCTGGATTGACAAACACTGCTTTAAAATAAGAAGACTGGGGCCAGGTGCAGAGGCTCATGCCTGTAATCCCAGCACTTTGGGAGGCTGAGGTGGGAAGATCACTCAAGACCAGGAGTTTGAGACCAGACAGGGCAACATAACAAGACCTTGTTTCTACAAAATATAAAAAAAATAGCTGGGTGGTGACATGTGGTGGCATGTGCCCATAGTCCTAGCAACTAGGGAGGCTGAGAAAGGAAGATCTCTTGAGCCTAAGAGTTGGATGTTGCAGTGAACCACAATCATGCCACTGCACTCCTGCCTCGGTGACAGGGCAAGACTCTGTCTCAAAAAAAGTCAACTGGTACTGTAGTAGTCACAGAACCTAGTAGAGTGCCTGGCTTATTGGTGCTTAATAAACCTTAAAAAATAAATAAAATATTTTTTCAATTGCAAAACAGGCAAATGGTAATTACATCTTAGGTCATTTATTAGTGAAAAAAATTTTTTTTTGAGACAGAATCTCGCTTTGTTGCCCAGGCTAGACTGAGTGCCATGGCGTCAGCCTAGCTCACAGCAACCTCAAACTCCCGGGCTCAAGCAATCCATCTGCCTCAGCCTCCCGAGTAGCTGGGACTACAAGCATGCGCCACCATGCCTGGCTAATTTTTTCTATATATATTAGTTGGCCAATTAATTTCTTTCTATTTATAGTATAGACGGGGTCTCGCTCTTGCTCAGGCTGGTTTCAAACTCCTGACCTGGAGCAATCCACCCGCCTCAGCCTCCCAGAGTGCTAGGATTACAGGCGTGAGCCACCGCGCCTGGCCATATTAGTGAAATTTTTGACTCTATTTTTGTCAGCCTAAAACTGGGGTAAGTTTGAATAAAAAGAAAAAAGAAAAAAAATTTTTTGTCAGCCATTTGTTTCTTCTAGACAGTGTCCCTTACAGCAACATTTACTGAGTGTTTACTATAGCCCGGCACTGTTCTAAGTGCTTTACATCTATTAGCTAATTAAGTTCATAGAGCCCTATAAGCTAAGTGGAATTATTATCTCTATTTTACAGATGAAGAAAGTTTTCATACTTTCATGCTTGGTGTAAAACAAGGACTTGAACCCAGGAAATCTGGCTTCAATACGCAATACCACTTTACATTTACTTCCAATCTGTCTATACCAGTTCATTTCTTTGGAGCTCCCTATCAGCATTCTCCCTCCTTAAAAGCAAGCAAACAGTGCTCACATCTACCTGGTAGGCAAATCCAAACAACTACTCCTCTCCTCCTTTGCTAGAACTATCCAGCAAAGGATAGGCAAGCAGAAAGGGGGAGGAGGGCTAATACAGCCAGGCTGAATTTGGCCCACTAGTACCTCAGTTTCCCCACTGGTAACTTGGACAATTCCTGAAATTAGATTTCAAAGCTAAGCGCTCTACAATTTTTTAAATTATTGTATTTATTTATTTATTTATTTTCATTTCAGCATTTTAAGGGGGTACAAATGTTTAGGTTACGTGTGTTGCCTTTCTCTCCCTCCCCGCCCCCAATCATAGCTTCCAGCATGTCCATTCCCTAAATGGGAATGGACTCATTATACATCACACTCATTATGTATGTATATACCCATCCCCTCCTCCCCATTGCCATCTGCCCAACACCCAATAAATGTTATTCCTATATGTCCACTTAGGTGTTGATCAGTTAATACCAATTTGCTGGTGAGTATATGTGCTGCTTATTCTTGTGATACTTCACTTAGTAGAATGGGTTCCAGCTCTATCCAGGAAAATACAAGAGGTGCTACACGCATGCGTGCGCACACACACATACAGCTTGCATACTTCCATTAAAACAACTATTTCAATAGCTACCAAAGGGTATAAACTGAAAAACAAGTCTTTCTCCCTAATGTTATAATTATATATTATGTTTATAATTATGATTAGCATTGTAACTTTAAATTTATACCTCTATATTCTGATTTATCAACTTTAGACTACATTTATCTTTTGAGTCGCAAGTATGAAAGATGAGGAGCATACTTACCTTCTCACTAATCTTTTCTTATCATCATCCTTTTTGTTATACTATTTTCCCACTGTCAAAGTTAACAACTGGCATTCTATTATGTCTCATATGCTTTGTCTTTGGAAGATTCTAAAGTTTATAAACTAAATAAACAGCATTTATAATGTTATGATTATGTACATACATTTTACTGGAGAATGAAGCATGGAGGGACCCATAGAAAGGGAAATATTCCATGTAGACTACCACTGGTAGTTTACAGAGCTACTAATCTAATAGACCACAAAAATGAGTCAAAGAATCAAACAAATACCTAATGATATTTACTGAGCATTTACTATGTGGCAGGCAAGCATTAAGCCTATACTAAGCACTGTACATACATTGCCTTATTTAATCCTCAAAACAACCATGTAAGGAAGAATTATATTAGCCCAACTTTGCAAGTAGTAATGAAGGCTAAGGTTACATACTTGGGCAAGTGACCAGGTCAGCTTGTAACGAGCAGAGCAAGGATGTGAATCCCGTTAAAGCTCCAGGGCCTCAACTCTTCACCACTATAATGCTGGCTCATACTAACTATTCTTTCACTTTCCTTTTCCTGACAATGTCTAATTAATGCCCTGAATAATGGAAGGAGTGTGTTATTTACAGAGATTAAAATTATTCTGTCTAGATATTAAACTTCTTTTGAACTATATATTCTCTTCCAAATCCTTTAAAACTATTAAGATGACACTATATTCAGTCTTCCTACTCACCAAATCTGGGAAACATTGAATAGTATGCTTTATGGCTAGATTTTACAACACAGTATACAGAAGTAAGCGTGTAGGTCTCAGTGTGACTTTTCCTGTTCAAATATTAAAAACTACAAAATAGAACACTCAAAGCAGTAGTCCAATATATAAAAATTCTTTAAAACTCAGGAATGAAACACTAAAAATGAAAATTCCTTGAAGATACAGTTATCTCTTTGTTCTATCTTTGACTTATTTTTCAATTGAGGATAAGTTACAGGACTATTGAATTACCCAGTATGATGTTGATTCTTGCTACATTATATACCGTATGTAGCAATACAGTGAACCAGTTTCATTCCAAGTTATCTTTAACTGCATTTCTAAAATTTACAGGTGAAGTGAACCTCATTTACAGGCTAACTCTGTCATGATTTCCAAGCACAGATGATTATATTACTGTCCCTGGCAAGGCAGTGAGATACTAAATTCATCCAAAAATGGTACTATCATAGACCAGATGTAAATAAGGCTCTCTTGACACTAAATTCTCTATGACAAGAGGTCAAGGGTCTGGCTTATAATCATAACCGAAATCTTGACACCATCTAACTTCAGCAAAATATAACTGCTATGCTTAGTAACAACTTGTTCAGGTTTTTTCCCACTAAAGCTGTTCCTTCAGTTAACAACTAATACACAATAATTCAATCACAATTCAGAACCAGCATTTAAACTATAGGAGCATTCAAATAGCTGTGGGTTAAAAGGGGATGCCAGTTTCAAGAGCAGCTCTAGAATGGGTGGCTCTCAATTCTATCTACCAGTTTTCTAAAAATGTCTTGCACTCTGAAGATATTTGTAAATCGGCACTTTTCATTTTTCTTTTTATCCGTTTATTTACGTATCTGTCACTCCCTTGAAGGTGTAAGCTTCAGTATGGGAGAGGTGTGACATTCATCTTTGTATCTCCTAGGACCAAAAGTGTCTGGCACATAGTAGGCTCTGAATACCTGTGTGGAATTAACTACAGGACAAGGAAGTCCATACTGCAAAGGAAAACGGTGAAGGGGCATTTTAGTTGGGAGGTTAAGGAATCAATTAACCTTTAAAAAAGAACAGACCTTGGGCTATCCCAGGACAGAATGCAACAATTAAGGGGCCTCAGGAAGCCGTAGTCAAGTATTATAGCCCTACCTTCCTAATTCCTAACCATTGTGTGCAGGCAGTGCGGCAGCTCGCCCTGAAGAGAGCCAAGCCTCAGCCTAGAGGACCCCGAGCCCTACCTCCAGAGAAGGGTGGTAGCACCACTGGACTTAACCCAGCTCCCGCCCTACTTCAGCCCCAGACTAAACTGCGGCCGCGTCTGCTTGCTCCAGGCCGTACCATGACAGGGCAATTCAGGTGGACCATAGGCGGACGTGGTTGACTCACCTACTTGGTAAAGCCGGCCCTCGGGTGAAAAAATGGTAATGTGGCGATCAAAACCGGCGCTGGAACCACGGGACATATTGGTGCACCACTTCAAGCACAGTATCTGGGCCCCGTAGCTCCCGCACAAGGCGTACAAACCCCTCCCGGAAGTTGCAGCGACTGCTTCCGGGGCACTGGCCCGGTTTCTTCCGCTCTCGCACGCGAAATTGAAGGCTCTCTAGCCCCTTTGAGCGCTGAGAAAGCGTCGAGGCCCCGCCCCTGAAAAGAGCCGGGGAGCGAGGGCGGGTCTTCGCTGTGCGCCTGCGCCAGGCAACGGCTTGCTTATACCCGGGGAGTTTTGGGTTGTGGCGGTTTGGGGCTTTCTTCGGGAGAGTAAATTGCTTACAGCAAGGAGGAAAAGGCTTCCTGAGGGCCCAGAGTAGTGATTTGCCTATCACTGTGACCTAAATAGACCGTCTCTCGTTAGTTTTAACACCTTGCAGCCATTCTGTGGCTGGTTAGATTGCTGGCTTACTTTCTTCCTAACCTCCTTCCCTTACACTTTCCTTCCTACTTTGGAGGGAGATAGATTGCAGGTGCAGTAAGTAGCAGCAGCCGCTAAATTTAAGCACTGAAGGGACCGGGTTCAAGTAGCCACTGGAAAGAACAGAATTTTCTTCTAGTCGGGCAAGATTTTCCTTTGGCCAGCAGCCCCGACAATTTTTACACTTAAAAGTGGAGCTGAGGTTAAAATATAGGTGATAGGGGAATCCCGAGGTTAGAGGGCTTTGATCCATAAATGAGAGCCAAAGGGGCGGGGCTTGTAGCAGGCTAGTGTTGGACGGATTAATGAGAGTATCCAAGCAGGCGAGGTAGCTCCGGGAGAACAGCAGGTGGCTTTTAAAATTGTAAAATTGTACCTATTTTGACTTTACCCCTAGGCACGCTCCTGTTTATTGAATATAAAATACAAAACATGATATTAAACCTCCCGAGGTTGGTGCACCAAGAAGGCCAGATACACTAGTTTTGTGAATCTATTGAATATAAAATGCAAAACATGATATTAAACCTCCCGAGGTTGGTGCACCAAGAAGGTCAGATACACTAGTTTTGTGGCACTTTAATGCCTGCTGTAAATACTGAAGGAGGGATTCTTAATCTCTATAATGTAGTTTCTCCTAAACTTACTTTCCATTTTGAAGAAAAAAATTTGTAAGACCATCATAAGGAAATTTAATTTCTCAAGTGTTTTGTTTTGTTTTGTTGAGACAGAATCTCACTCTGTTGCCCAGGCTAGAGTGCCAAGGCATCAGCCTAGCTCACAGCAACCTCCAACTCCTGGGCTCAAGCAATCCTGCCTCAGCCTCCCAAGTAACTGGGACTACAAGCATGCGCAGCCATGCCCGGCTAATTTTTTCTACATATTTTTAGTTGGCCAATTAATTTTCTTTCTATTTTTAGTAGAGAGGTCTTGCTCTTGCTCAGGCTGATTTCAAACTCCTGACCTTGAGCGATCCGCCTTGGCCTCCCAGAGTGCTATGATTACAGGTGTGAGCCAGTGCGCCTGGCCTTCTCAAGTGTTTTTAAAAAATACATTTCTATTAACCTGAAAAATAAAATCCCAGACTGAAACATGGTTAAGAAAATAGTAAATGCAAGCAGATCTCTGGTACACAGGGTACTTTCCATCACTGGCTAAGTCCCAAGTATACTGATAAAAGTTGTCCTTTGCTTCTGGTTCTGGTCCCTACGCTCAGGACCAACCTCTCTTGACCTTTTGAGTACTTTTGTTTTTCTCAGACTTTGAAAGAGCGTTGTGTACTGTAATTCCTACAGTTTGCCTGAATAGTCATAGATAAAAGGTTCTTGGTAAGGCTGCTAGAAGGATGAACTCAGTCCCATAGCTTCAACAGCCAGCTACGCTGATGTCTCTCAAAGTTAGGTGTCTAGCTGGCCCCTTCTCTGGAGCTGATTCTTCTTTAATTCCCTATGGGAAGTTTTCATATTGAGACACGTGACAACTCAAAACCTAACATGTTCAAAACAGAACTCCTTATCTCTTCCCTCTCAAGCCAATTCCTGCCCCTTGTATCTTGCTTTCCAAGTCCTCAGAGCCAAAACCTTGTAGCATTTAATTAATATTTCCCCATTCTGCCTCCATGCACTCTTGATCTCCCTTATTCTGCTCACTTTGTTCACTATTCATTGACCCCCCCTCACCCCTAACCTAAGCTCCGTGAGGGCAAGGATCTTTGTTCATTCAATGATATAACTCAGGCAAATTGAATAACTCATATATATTAAGCGCTCAATGAATATGAGTTGAATGAATGAATCCCTTACAGCATAGGAGTTAGGAGTGCATCCCTTTCTATTTAAACCTGAATTTAAATTTCATCTGTAACAGTTACTAGATCTGTGACCCTATGCAGCCTCCCTAAGTCTGGATTCCCTTATCTGTTAAATTTGGAGAATAAGATCCATTTTATGGGGGCCATTGTGAAGATTAAATGAGAGAAGGCAAGGAAGTTCTAAACAAAGTGCCTAGCATAAAATAAGCACTGATCAAATGGTGGCTGTTATTATTGTTGCCTTCCCATTTGGTCAGTTACTGAACGCTATTGATTATTCCTATGGAATTATTCTGCCTGCTTTTCATTTTTGTTTACACTGTCCAAATTTAGACCTTTTTTACAGTTTACTCTGGCACAGTAGAGTCTCTTCTTGTTGATCCCTCCCACTCTTGAAATCATTTTTTAGAGCAAGATCTCATTAGATTGCTTCTCTGCCTAGATTCCTTTGGGCTCCTCACTACTGAATAAAATGTAGTCTCTAGGTTAGTGCTGAAGCTGTCTACAAGTTGACCTCTACCTATCTTTTCAAACTTCTCTTCCACTTCATTCTCCTATTTTTTATTCAAGGGCTACATTCCGTAGCACTGCTTGGATCTGCACTGCCTGATCACGCCTCAAACTCCTCCATAACATTATCTCTCTAGTAAGGACCACTATATTCCCATCTCCTCTCCTAAGAAGCTCAAACCTGCTAGTCTATCTCTTTCTCCCCTATATGTCTACTGCATGTAATTTGAATCTTTTACTAACCTGAACCAAAGGAAATGGCCATTTTGTAGGTCAAATATTGGCAATTAAATGCTTTAACTTAAAGAATTATGTATCTGGGCTTCATGAAAGATTGGCAGGGCAGAGGCAGGGTACTTTTCATCTCTGTACTCTCCATTACCCCACGCCCAGGGCTTGCCTCATAAGAATTCAATAAATAACTGTTAAGTGGAACTGAAAACTGTAGAAAGAAAGGGAACAACTGAGGAATGTTTTCATAGCTGCAAGCCTTTGTGTGCCATATAGACATGGCTGTGAATGTTCACTGCCTTGCAGCGATGAGATATTTCAAATCACACACAATGCAGGCTTTGAGAATTATTTTACACATTCAAACAAATCTTGACTCCCTCTTGAGGTTGCATTTAAGATGGGCCCTGAAAGAGGCATGGGATTTTAGGAGAATGGGTGGTGGGTAAGTACTAGTAGTATACTAGTGAGTATATGACACGTATTTATATTATTTTCCCACTCCTTTTTTTTTTTGCATTCCGTCCTTTTTTAATTTTTATTTTATTTTAGCGTATTATAGGGGTACAAGTGTTAAGGTTACTTATATTGCCTATGCCCCCCTCCCCCTATATATTGATTTTATTTTTTGAGACAGAGTCTTGCTCTGTTGCCTGAGCTAGAGTGCGATGGCGTCACCTTAGCTCACAGCAACCTGAAACTCCCAGGCTCAGGCAATCCTTCCACCTCAGCCTCCTGAGTAGCTGGGACTACAGGCATGCACCACTACGCCCGGCTAATTTTTTCTAATTTTAGTTGCCTGGATATTTTCTTTCTATTTTTAGTAGAGATGGGATTTCGCTCTTGCTGAGGCTGGTCTTAAACGCCACCATGCCCGGCTAATTTTTTGTTTATATATCTTAGTTAGCCAATTAATTTCTTTCTATTTATAGGTAGAGATGGGTCTTGCTCGTTGCTCAGGCTGGTTTCGAACTCCTGACCTTGAGCAATCCGCCTGCCTGGGCCCCATATCATTTATGGGTAAAGAAAAGGGACCAATGGGGCACCAAATGTGGGGTGCAGTATGACTTCTGTGATTTACATGAGGCAAATTGGTTACACTTTTACTCATAACCCCTTGAAACCCTCCCTCCTCAGCCCCCCAGAGTGCTAGGATTACAGGTGTGAGCCACCACGCCTGGTCCTAGGATAGTATGTACATTTCAATATTCTTAAGGATACTTCCTGGAAGGAATCAACTTCACTTTCAATATGAACATAAATTGAAAGCTAGAATTAGAACCTCAGGCTGCTTGAGGGCTATGACCACCTTTGCTTTGCTCACCGCAGTGTATCCTCAATACCAAATTGTTCCTAGTATTAAATAAGCACTCAGATCATTCATTGAAGGTACACTCTCACTATTTAGGTTTCCTATTATGTTGGATTGTTTTTCTTTTCTTTCTTTCTTTTTTTTGAGACACAGTCTCACTTTGTTGCCAGCTAGGTGAGTGGCCGTGGCATCAGCCTAGCTCACAGCAACCTCATCCTCGGCTCAAGCAATCCTACTGCCTCAGCCTGGGTAGCTGGGACTACATGCATGCGCCACCATGCGCCGGCTAATTTTTTGTTTATATATCTAGTTAGCAATTAATTTCTTCTTATTTTATAGTAGAGATGGGGTCTTGCTCTTGCTCAGGCTGTTTCGAACTCCTGACCTTGAGCAATCCGCCTGCCTGGGCCTCCCAGAGTGCTAGGATTACAGGTGTGAGCCACCACACCCGGCCGAATTGTTTTTCTTTATTAGAAAAGATTTGTGGCTGGGCTCGGTGGCTCATGTCTGTAATACTAGCACTTTGGAAGGTCGAGATAGGAGGATTGCTTGAGGCCAGGAGTTCGAGACCAGCCTGAGCAAAATAGCAAGACCCTGTCTCTACAAAAAAAAAAAGCCAGGTATGGTGGCATGTGCCTGTAATTCCAGCTACTCAGGAGGTTGAGGCAGGAGGAGATCATTTGAGCCCAGGAGTTTGAGGCTGCAGTGAGCTCTGATGACATCACTGGACTCTAGCCTAGGCAACAGCTACCCAGTCTCAAAATAAAAAAATAAAAAGGTTGTGATTAAACAAGAAATCTAAATCTCAATCCCCTAAAAGGTCAGAGATTTTACATTAGAATTTGAGATTTTTCCACACAGGCAAAT